AACTGACTGAATTATTATTAGGTCGTGCTGTCTGGGCCCTGAATTATTAAGCGATATTTGGTATAAAGAGCTCAGAGTCTAACTCGGTTAACTTATGTTCTCGTTTGTAAATTGAATTCGTGAAACGAACGTCAAAAGTTCCTATCTCTAAACTACCTCTGGCGAGATTAGTTTATTTTGTGGATATTACCTACTTTAAAAAATATTTATTTAATTAGATACATGTATTTTAGTTTTCTAAATAAGGCATGTCCAATAAATATAAACACGCTTGATGTTTTACTTTATATGTATTTATCTACATATAAAGTAAAACATCAAGCGTAATTTGTTTTATATTATTTTTTATTGGATGAAGTATACTCATAGATGGTTCCACGAAAATTAAAATCAGAGGTATGTAATTATGAAATACATTCTAAACAAACATTGCAAATAATTGTTCTTAACTTACAAATGGTCCAAAGTCTACATTCAACTATATTTCTATATATTTTTTCAGGGAGAACGCTCAAAATTCAGAATCGCTTGATTGTTAATATGAACTGCAAACAACCTTCGCGCCACTGCACGGATGCAGAGTCGTTCTATAAGCGTCAACTTAGATATCCATATTTATTTACAAGTTTTGTTCCCCAATTCTCACAATTTGTATGCAATATTCATACAATATTAATATTCGAAAGAAAGTCGTAAGTATCACTTAAATTATATTTGCTTAATCGAGAATATATTTCACATATATTAATGTCAAATAAACTAGCAAAACCATGTTCTGAGCAATAACTTTTCGATACAATATTTTTGCATGTGCAAGTTACTGAAATAAAGTTAATTAAAAAATTAAATAAGGTAAGATTATAATATCATATATTTTTATTTATTCATAAAATAGATACATGATATAGACTTAGAATAGTTTGCGTGAGTAGTTCCAACTTTTGGTCTATAACATCTCAGTTAGTAGCCACAAAAAGAGGATCTTTTCATGAAAAGATCACTAACTGAGAAGTATGTATCTAGACCAAAAGTTGGAACTACTCAAGCAAACTATTGGTAAGAGCTACTAAATAATATATCACTTAGAACAACATACAACGCATGCGGTAATTCTGTAAATCAATAACACAAATTTATATCATAGTAGCTACTACGTGGTCAGTTATTGTTTTACTGCAAAATAAATATTTTTTTGTTTCTATACTATGTCAAACTAGACATATTTTGCAAATATTAGCAGCTAATTATTTAACGTAAACTTTCCTTCTAACCGTATCTCGAGTTCCTACTTCATTGTTATGATTTAAAGTTGCAAATATAAAATGAAATATCACCATCTTCATCACAATTTATTACTGTCCTACTGCTGAGCATAGATATCCTGTCAATATTGTAAACGAGAAAGTTTGTAAGGATTGATAACCGAATATTTATTATTCTTTCATGCAAAAACCAATGGAAGTACACGAATAAAAACTTTTACCCAAAATTATAGCGGGATGTAACTAGTCTTCTCACAAGAGAATAATTCAATATTTCCATGCTAAAAGAGTAATTAGATTATTTTTATGTTATTGGAATTGCAAAGAAGCTACCGGCTTACATATACAACTGTTATCATTTGTCCCAATGGCAAGTATGAACTTTGGGCATCATGTTATCACGTGACGCCAGTGATATATTATAACTAACGCTAGGTAAATTACAGTATGACACTTAGTTTTCAGAAATGGGAATCATTCCGAAAAAGTAAAATGTTTGAAAACTAAATTGGTTCTTAAGTTTTTAGTCGTTTCTTATGAATTTTATAAAAATCAAATATTACCTATATATGTTTTCGTTTAAATATTCACTGAACAGTATAGAATAGAATAGAATAGAAAATCATTTATTCAAATAAACTTAATTTAAGCACTTTTGAATAGTCATAACAATTTGTTTTTTATCTACCACTCGTTCGGAAAGCTGTCACAAGAAGAACGAGCAAGAAACTTGTGTGTTGCTCTTTTAAATAATCCTTGTAAGTTTACATTTACAAGTCGAAACGTGTGAATACAAACTACCAACAAGCACTAATTTTTGGGTCAAATATAAATATGCAATAAGATTAAATCAGTCGTAGTGATAAGAGCAGACCAGTCCCTTTCGTTCACGAGTAAAAATCACTGCGCTCGACCATATTTTAGGGAGCCCATTGACCCGGCCCACCACGCCACCACATGTCTGGACATTTTAGTATATATACTCATTCCACACGACCACGTCACAGCTATAAAAATTACTATATGGTAGTTATAGTATTCGCACTTTACATAAGGATGCATGCGGCAATCAGTACTTATTTATCTTTTTTTTTTAATATATGTATTTAAATATTCAATAAAATAAATAAATAACGAAAGTACACATTACACAATCTGATTATGCATTCATAGAAATTTATCATAACATCAGAAAGGCGTAGAAAGGATTACCTATTCTAAAAAATATTAAAAATGTCCTGTTTACAAATTTTTAGTCTAAAACTATAATGCCCTTAAATTTTATTTTCTTTCATTGTGTGTATATCTATATCGAGTAGAAAATACGTATATCTACATAAGTTGTTTTATATAACTTAACAGGTTTCATTACTTTTATTTGGTTTACTAGTCCATAAGTAAATATATTTTTCTGTGTTCATTTGGCACTTGTGTAATGGTAATAAAAAGACCACAAACAGCGATTTTACTACCTCTTATAATACCTATTTACTAAACGTTTAGCTTAATACATTATGCTATTTTACTAATTTACTACTAAGCTTTCAAATAAATATAAACGATATGTACACTGCTTCATATCCTTTGTCAGAAATGGGCTATACCCTTTCAAATAGGAAATAAAATGGCAGTAAATGCCAAAAAGCGGTAATAGAACAAAGTGCTTGGCTCTTTGCGGTAACGTAATCCCACGATGAACCTATATACTGCCGTTGCGGCGTGTTGCTAAATTGCATTGCTAAAACAAGATTTGACCAGTAAATGGGCTTGTAAAGCTTATTAGAGCTCGACTATGCAAAGTTATAAAATTGCATACAGCTTCATCACATCTAAACTGCTTTTGCTCCCTAATTACTTTATATTATTAAGGAGAAAAAGCAAGAGAATTATTACTACTTAATGGATTTAAATATAACTGATGAAATTTATCTGGATATTAATAATTTCTTCACCGAAACTGATTTCTATTATTCTATTTACAAATCATTATATTCCTGTATTAATCTTATTGTATATCCTAGTATTTATTTATGTCATTAGTGTGTTATTTGCCAAATAATTTATTGAAAATATTAAAATGTTCTGTAAAATACATATATCTATGTAATTTATTTTATTAGAATGGATAATTAATGCATGCCAATAGAGAATTCATATGTAATATTTTAACGTAAGGTCTGGTGGCCAGCATATGAAATTTTCTACAAACAAAGTATTAAAATGTTCATAAAATACATAAATATAAAGTATGTTGCCTGTACGTCAGCAACAGGGTGATTTTCAGAACGTAATTCAAGAAGGTATTACATTAACTTACGACGCTACGTTGGTTCTAAAGATTTTCTAAGTTACTCTATCTCGAGGTTAATTAAAATGGGGCCAAAGTAGAAAGCAAACGTGCTTAGTGATAGTAGAATTATATGAACTTTGCGAGGAAACCTTACAGTCAGTTTTTGTCTGGGCGGATGCTTAATCAGATTTCTTTAATTATGAAAATCCAATTACCTGACGTTGAAACGACTAGTCTATATGGCTTGACGATGTATCGTAGTTTGTAACAGGTGGAAACATAAAATATTAGACGCAAAAATGGTATTTTACCGTCAAAGTCGTCTGCGTCTGCGTTAGTACCTACCTCTATCTCACTTACTTTAGCCGCTAAGCAACTTGCTTAGTAAGATGTACTACAGGTATATTTCGATTGAACAGCTCACTGTTCAATCGAAATCAATAAAGCTGTAAAATTATAAGATATGGAGGCATGACTTAGGATGACCTTTGTAATGGCAACGCGTAAGTAGTGCCACGGACGTTATAACGTGATATCATTCATGTATATAGACAACTATTACCGTTTACAATCTACTGTGTAAGGACCCAGTTCAAGGCAACTTGGTTTCATTCCAATTATGTAAAAAAGTGTTGTGTTTGACAGTAATTTATATGATTTACAGACATTACTATTATAATCTGAAAATTTGATTTATTGAACGTTTGATAACACTATAGAAATTATTATAGTCTTACAACTCTATCTCGAACAATTTGAATTTTGCAATAAATCTATAGGATGGTTATAAGGACAATAAATCAGATCGATCTGGGTCTCTGTGACAGAATAACGCCCATTTTACCTTTCTTCGAGTTCAGAAGATTTGTGTTCTAGTAAGAATACTTTGTTTTCCATATTTTATTTGTAAAGATAAAATTGCAATATATTACAATTATTTGGAATGTGATGTTGAAGTTTAAAAACAAACAATATTTTCGTGTCTAGACAAATTTGGAGATATATGAAAATAGTTGTGAAATTATTATTTCTGCTTAACTTTTTTTACGTGAGGAAAATTCACAGCACTCAATACATAGCATTTCGAACCTATTTCGATATCGGTACAGATTATCTTATTTGTTACTACCGTACAGTATACTACGATACTGCCGGAACTGTGAAAGTCTTCATTGTTGTGAATGAAAACTGCATAGTGAGTTTATTGACTAGTATATTTAGAAAGGGACGAGAGGATATTGGCACCAGATGCAACATCATGGCATTGATTTCAATTCATAACCTAGGAATTAATTTGTACATTTATAATCGAATGTCTGTTCTTTAGAAAAATGTATTCACCATCATCATCACAATATGCAGAACGTGTAATTATGAACTCGCAAGATTATTCGCATAAGTGGTATTTAACAATATTTACAAATATCCTGATAGCTAAAAGTTCATACCTGTTTTAACCAACTTAAAAGTGACTTGCTGTTGGTTTTTCAGCTGCTCGTTGTGGTTTGGATGTGTCAGTTCTCGAAGAGCCATTTCTATCGATGATTGTTGCATGATGCGCTCGCGGTTACGAGGCGGCGACGCCTCTCTTTCTTTGGAACGACTCAATTTTCGGAAGAAGCTAACCTTCTTGGATTTGGAGTTGGAACCTGAAAAAAATTATAAACTTTGTTATCACTATTACGAACATGTTTAATATTTATACCTACGTTTCACGAAGGGTAAAATGAAGACAGTTTGACCGTTCGCCTGAATCGATAAATCGGTATTTAATGTTATAGTGTTCACACCAAAAATGTTAGCCAAACCCAATGAAAGTGATACATTTCAAAAATAGCAAAGCAAAGTGGCATTATGTTGATGCATGTACCATGCGCAATGAACTCGTTGAGTTAGTGGATGAATTTCAATCAGAAATCCACACTCTCGTTCAAAACCTTCAAGAGATGACCGATGTCCCGTTGTTGTCGAATTCGTCGAGGTGCGGGTGGAGGTTGTGGGGGAGGTATTATTAGGCACCGGTTCAGAATAAGGCCGAGGTGGGAGCAAGTTAAGTGAGAAATTTTCTGGAGAGGTAAAATGCGCCGCCGACACATCTGATCTACGGTCTGGTTCCGGAGTTGTTACACGAATATTCGCTGTAAACTGTGGCGTACTGGCGACTTCGAATAATGCATCGAAGTCGCGATCAAAAATATTTTTCCGCGAAAACGCCGGAGTCGGTAGGGGAGCAGGTAGTTCAAATTCATCGGGAGCAGGAGTTCTGACTATTTTCCCGAAGTCATTGTTCTCTTGTCGACCAAGTTTTTTAAACAGCTTTGCCTTGGTGCGCTCGCGCAGCTTGGCCGGCCGGTCTATAGACGGCGTCGGCGAGGCCGGCGCGCGCTCCGCTGGCTCCGGGGGCGCCGTTTTGGGGACGGAAGCGGCGCGGGGCGGGGCGGGGGTCGGGGACAAAGGTGATGCGCTAGTCGGCGCGGATGGCAGTGGTCCAACAAGAACGTCAAGCGTAGGCCGCTGCCGGGGCCGGGGCAGCGATTGTGTGCCGTATGTCAGGGTAACTACGTCATCCGCAGGATATATTACGTACATCCCTGGTGAGACCGCATCGCGCCGGCCCCTTGCGCCCTCCGAAGAGGTATACGCGCGTTACTTTATCTTACCACTACAATATGCTCGGTGCTCGGATTTATTAAGAATTTTGCTATCTGAAGAAATTCTTAAAAAAGTGTAGTCATAAGTTAAAAACTTACGACGACGCTTATCGTGGAATGTTTCTATAAGTGAATCTGCAGCTCGATTACAATAATTCAAAGAATGAATAAGGAATGTTGCATGGGAGGGTATTTGAGCTAGGTGTAGGAGGTAGGAAAGGAACTTCTTCTTGTGATATCAGCCATAAGTTTGTATACATCTTGAACCTAAATGGAAAAGAAAACAAAAATAAGTCAACAAAGGATACTGACAAAAGTGATCAGTAATCCAGATCAAAATAAGGTATCAAAGAAGCGTATTTCCCTAAAGACGACAAAGGGAAGGTTACTATACTTTCATTTATTCCTTGAAATAATAATAGAATAGATATAGAGATAGAATTCTTGCAGCTATTGTACATATAATTTCAACAAATAGTAAAAATTTTTAAAATTATTTTATTTTCACATAATATGTTTAATATGCATTAATAAATTGTTTATATTTATATTTTATAATTTAAAATTACACATATTATACTTAGAAACGGTTAAAAGAAGCTCTATAAACATAGTTGTAAACGTAAGTTAATAAATAATATTCGAGAGAATACTATGCAAAGACCATATTTAAATATAATAAATCTGATCTACAAAAATTTTATTAGAATATAAAATTGCAGGTGAAATTTACAGAGAATACAAATTAGTTAGAAATTTGTTTAATTAAAAAATATATATTAATATCAATAATTCATTACTTAGATACTACTTAATAATTAATTAAAGATAGCAATAGAATTCATTATGTTTATTATATGTAATTAATTACACATTATTCATAATAGTTATAACTTATATCTCATGTAAAAAAAGGTAAAGCGTACCTGAAGGAAAATAGTTTTTTAGTTTTAAACTAAACCACGAGCATCACAAAATAAAATACAACAATTTTTTAGATCTAAAATCATTAAAATAAATTAATTCCTAAAAATGTCAAGTCAGTTTTCGATACTCTACAAAAAAATATACAAGTGTTGTCAGAGCATTGAAGCTAAAACATAAAGAATGCAGCAGAAGAGCGACGTTGTGAAATTTTAAGTGCTGCTCGGTGGAGTCACCCTTAGCTATTGTGGTGCTGCTTGACCCCTTTGTAGGCACCTAGTTACTTCAGTCAACATACATTTACGTATAACATGAAAGAGTCTATAATTCCTGCTACTTTTTTCACTTCTCGAATTAAGATTTTTAAAACAAACTTGGTATATACAAGTAAATACCCATACGTATAGAAGATAAAAAGACAAAAAGATTTGATTACGAAATTACTATTATAAAGAAAACACAAGATAGTGATGTGCTTCTATAATGCACTTCTACTACAACAGTAATAAGATACTGTCATATAAAAATAATTATGTATGTATTAAAAAAAATGTAGGCACTCAAGTATTTATATCAATTCTCTAGTACCCATAAGCAATTTTTATAATTCACGTCTAATATGTACTTTCTATCATTGCATGCATGCGCCATCTACCACCTTCTGTTTTTTAAGGATGTCTAGGAGTAATAAGAGCGCCTTCTGTATCTAGACTTAAAATAAGACTCTGTAAATTAAGTTTATTGTACTTATACTATTTGGTCAGCGATAATATAAGGTTTACTTAAGAGTTTCTAATTTTACATATAAAGGGCTTTGGGTTAAAGGCGTTATAATGGATTAACGGTTGCACTTTGTAACAGATACGAAGGTCGGAACTAAGTACTTAAATATCTTCGATTTGAATAATTGATAGTTACAGATTTATTACAAAGCCATCTTTGTGATTACAAGTTGTTCAGAACTGACGCTTGAGTCAAATCTCTTCGCAAAGGTATCAAAACTTTAAATCGAAGATAAATAATGAATGTATGATTGTTTTATACCGTCATGCAAGGTTTTATTAATATATTTGTCTTTGTATTTAACTATCTCTTAAATCTTGTCGATGCAAAAAATACTATGTAAATTAATTACCTGAAAGTTAAAGTTAGGATATCCACATATTTTTTATCTCTATTAATATGGAGTTATAACAATAAATATCAAAACGGTACACTAAATTATTCCAAAATGCCAAAATAACGGAGATCCGACTACGTCAGTTGATATTGCAGTTATGAGGACATTTATTTTTATCCAAACTCATCAGAATGTATAGAAAATTATGAGTGACTCTTCAATTATTATATTTATAAAAATATATGTATATCTAAACACTTGGCACTCTGCCTGAAGAGCTATCATTCTAAATAGGTAGTAGGTACGTTAAAGATATTTATGTCATTTTTTATTAAATATAGTTTGTCATGTTAAAACGTTTTACTTTCGGTATAAATCTTAAGATATCAAAACATTAGATATGTAATTAGAATGTTTACATTTACACATAGTTTTGTTATTAAAGTTATGAATTTGTACACTACATTTTAACAAGTATTAATAAACTTGCTGAAGTTATTGTGGTTCATTAAAAAATAAAATGTGTCCCATGTTACAAAATTTTATTTATATTTAGAGTTTATCAATTACTAATAATTATTAATTAATCATAAAGTATATGTTTAATCACTAACGTTAATATATATGTTTGAAATCGTCACTGCCTGACGGATATTGTTTGGCATGATTTTGTTTATTTAATATAATTTCAGTATAAAATTTATTGTAATTATAATAATGAAATTTATTCAAAATAAAATATATATAAGTGAAATATGTAGTCAAAAAGTCGTGTCAATAATAGTTAATAACAACTGACGTTGAATAGCCTAATATTTATGTCGTATTTTATTACCATATGAGGAATTTGAACAAAACGAATCCCACAACAATGCGGATGAACATAGAATTGGAATCGAAATATCAGATATCTGCTTTGATAGACATTTGAAATTCGGTTTTGAAATTGATGCTGCAATTCATTGAATAATTAACTATGCAAATTTGTATATATTTACATGATTTTCTCTATTTAATTTATAGCTACTCCTACTTTTAATTGATGTATCTCTTGAAAACTGATATAGAGGAGTTATATACAGATAATAAAGTTATGGCTTGAAGTTCGGAAGTGCAAAACGGGGTCGAGTGCATTCACACAATGGACGGCCGCTCCATTCGTGATAGTGAAAAATTTTAAGGACGTTCAGTGTATTAGTTCTCAAATACCAAGCACCAACATACCGAATTTAATTAAAATGTAGGTACTTTTGTACGTATATTAAAAAAAACAAGTAATTCCAAAATTATCTTCTCATTTTATATAATTATTTGTGTTACTGTTAAGTGTTTTCTTACTATCATGTTTATAATTTTATATATTATATGTTAACAGTTCAGTAATTTGAACTTCATTTCCGTTACAAACGAAACTCTATTCTTTGTGTTTTTTATATTTATAAATATTTGTTTAAAAAAAAAAATATGAACAATAAAAATTATAACACAGTGAATAAATACAATAATTATTTGTTAGAAAGTGCATTGTAAAAATACCTACTCACATAGTACTATCAAAACTATGATTAAATTACATTTCAAGTGAATGTAAATGCCGACGCGGTGGTATTGTAGAGGAATCTTCATTATTAAATATCTCACTTGAAAGCAACTGGCGTAAATAATTTTATACGTAGTCAAAGGTACATCGAAGATTAAACGTAGGTCGTTTGCAAAACAATCTCCCGTGCAAATTGGGCAAAAGTAATTCGAACTTTTCGCAAAATATTCATTAACCAAATTATAATACACGCGGAAAATGAACTCGAATACGCAATCCCGGTTCTGTACGTTCTCACTGTCCTAATTTTGCATTATGTTGTTATTTTTAGGTAGATACAGGAGACTTTTTTTACTTCTTTCTGCCACAGAATAAATTATACGGACACGTTTTTCCCACGGTAAAATAAACGTGACAGAATTAAACACGAGCCTTAATTATTTTATGTTTTCATAAATAGGTTTATGAGTAAATTTAGACTAATGTACACCTTTGGAACTAAAATAAAAAAAAACACATTATTATTATCGATAAGACCTTGACTTAGGTTAGGCGCGGATATTACGACGACATATCAAGGCTACGATGTTGATGTGTATGTTATTTCATATAATAAAGATATCGTTTTTAATTGGCCGTTATTTTTTAATATAGTAATTTTTCATTGCCTACTAGTTTCTGATGTAGTCTCTTTAAAACTCTTAAAAATACTTTAATTTTAATATGTCGTGCAGCTAAGTCTTGATATAGTTTTTCATTTCAATTATTCATTGATTGATGATTATAATTAACTATTCGTTTAACATGATCTCAGGACACCACCACCAACAAGTGATATACACTTGTTCCATTTTTTTGTAAGCAATGCTGTTACAGTGAAGCTCTAAGCAAAGACAGTATTAATTGTGATTTATTTATTTTTATTTATGAACTCTCTATTGCAATATAAGTATATCAATTAGAAAATAAATTACTGAGTAGTAGAATGAATAAAATATTTTTATATATTTTAATAAGAATAAATAATATATTTGTGTATTATTGTCGTTCTCAAACTATTTTAGAGCGTGTCAACTTATTTTCACTATTAAAAATCGCTTATTAATTAAGTTTTTTGTTGACTATGGACATAGGTATTATTCAAGGAAAACAGAATAGCTATTTACGACATAATACGGCGAATAGTTTCCGCATAAAATTAACCTAGAAAACTGAACATCGCAGCAAACGCGGTGTCAAGTGTCATTAATAGAGGAAACAGGTGATTGCGTCGTACAACTCATTTCCCCTGGCATAACCATATCCGATACGAATAATGTTGTTGCTTGAGTGCAATTTCAATATTTACTCCATATGTATGTATGTCAAACTGTGATACCTTATACAACAGGTAAAATAGCTATGCCGGACCGCTATACATTGTTGAATATTATAAAGATACTTTTACCCGCGACTTCGTTCGCATTGAATAATAAATATTTGTTTTTTTTTAAATAAAAAACTATCCTATGTTTATTCTAATACCTCCAAGAACACGTGTACAAAAATTCATGAGAATCGATTTTTGCGTGAATGCGTAACAACATCCCTAAGATATGCATACAAATAAAGGACGAAAACTACAATGAAATTATGCGGGAAGAAAAATATATAACAATTTTTTTTTTAATTTACTAGAAATGC